TTTTTAATAATGTGAGAGATATAGATGGGTATTTTACTTGTGGATGTCCTATTGTGTTTATTGAGAAACACTACCTTTTCCTCCATTCTGTCTTCAAACTGTTGCCAAGAATCACTTGACCATATCTGCCTGGCGTGTATCTGTGTGTCTTGAATTCAGCGTTGCTCTTTCTGAAACGCCCCCACCCCCCCATGCCAGGGTGTAGGTCAGTGGGAGAATACTTCTCTGGTCTACGTGAGGCTCTGGGTTTAGACCCAGCACTACAAAACAAAGCAAATAAAAAACACTACCAACCAGCCAACCAACCAACAACAACAAAAACAAATCAAAGCAAAACCTATATTTTAAAATGGGCAAAAAATTCTTTGAATATACACTCTGCAAAAGAAGAGACGTGAATCTCAAGTAAGCAGTGAATAGTGCTCCACATTGTTAGCCACTGGGGAAATATAAGCTAATGCCGGGGCATCATAATGCAGGGGCATCATTCCACTACGGATCCACCAGAACGGTCAAATAATCGGGTTGTAGTAGTCTCAGCACTAGGGAGTTGGGGCAGAGTAGTAAATCGCTATACATTTAAGGCCAACCTGGACTCTATTGTAAGTGTCAGATCAGTCCTGGCTACAGTGTAGACTTTCAAAGGACAACAAAAATGGGCAAATAAAAATGCCAAACCAATTTTCCAATCTTTTTGCAATATTCAGTGCTGGTAGACAGCAAGGAGCCACTGGAACTGTCATATGTCACTGGCGGAGCATAAAATGGTGCAAGCCCTGGAAAACCTTTGGCAGGGCTGGCTGGGATAAAGCTCATTGGTCTGCTACTTGTTCAGAATGGGCAAGCATCTGGGTTTGATCTCTGACACCATGAACAAAACTAAAGGCTGCTGGTTCCTTCTAACATTAACTATCACTTGCTGGGGTTGAGGAGATGGTTCAGTGGGTAGAGGGATTGCTGAACAAGCAGAAGTATTCAGATCCCAGGCCCTACTAAAAAGTCAGCCATGGCTACAGGTGCCTGCAGCTCCAAAGTTGGGGAGGCAGGGTCAGGCTGATCTCAAGTACTTGCTGGCCAACTGGCAACCCTCTTTGGCCAACCAAACAACTTAGTGGAGTCTTTAAGCCCTGACTCAGTAGGAGACCCTGCCTCAAAGTAAGATGTGATACAGGACAAGTCTGGCTTGGTCTTTAATGTGGCTCTTACTCAGATTAGCTCACAGTAGCTGTGGTTACCTGCACTAGACTTGACAAGATCAAGCCATGCAGAATGCCAGTATGGATGAGGGAGACACTCCTGAGGTTCCACCTCTACTGGAGGAACTATTGGTCACTGATGGCTGCTGAGGGCAAAAGTCGTCTCCTTAGGGGACATGGCCATACTCACTTCTTTCTTTAAATGTTTCCTTGGGGTAAAGTATCTTGTTTTCATGCACACATTATCTTCCTTTCTAAGTTTTATTCTTATTATTTGTAAGTGTGTGTGTGTGTGTGTGTGTGTGTGTGTGTGTGTGTGTGTTAGGGAGACAGATGCATTGGCTCCCACTGGAGCTGGAGTTACAGGTGGTTGTGGGTCACTGAACTCTGGTCCCTTGGAACAGCAGTATGCATCCTTACCCACTTACTGACTGAGTCAACTCTCCAGCCCAGGGTTTTCTATTTAAAGGAAATCGCTCACAGTTCATTGAAATCTCTTTTGGTTTTGTTTTGTACCAGCCCCTCCTCTTCCATCTGGCGTCTGATTTCCATGACTGCAGGAATGATTGCAGATGATACCCACATTTCTTTTTATAGCCGAACTTGCGGATCACAGACGTCATTCTTGGTGTGATTTGGCAAGGGATCTGGTTATGTCAGATACAAGACTCTCCAAGTAGACATAAAAATATTCCTCCTCAGATCAGTCACTGCCCCCAGAAACCCAGAGCCTGCCATTGCGGGAGCCGAGCAAGAGAAGCACGTGGAGCCGCGCTTACTTCCTCTGCTGCTCTGAAAGGCACCACACTCCTCTCTGCACTCAGCTGTCTTCTTGCTCGGCCTCCCCCGGGAGCAAACATTTCTGTTCCTTAGTAACTTGGTGGAGAAAGTGATCTGAGGATCCGGTTTACACATTTCTTAGATTACACAGACGTCCAGTTCCTCTCCTTACTATTGCCTTCAGGGATCTTTGTCAGCTGGGTCCCCCAAGACCTGGACCTAAGTTTATGCGCTGCTGCAAGCATCTAGAGATGTAGTCTCAGCCCGCTGCACCTTGTCCACCTGCCTAGCTGGTCTCCTAAACACAGGTTTCCTTAAATAAAAAAAACTCATCCCAGAGCTTCTCAAGTCAGAATCTCTGAGAAGGCGGCTGGTAACGTGTACTTCCTAGGAGGCCTTCAGGTGATCACACCGGGAAGTCATTACTCATGACTCCAGCACGGTTGGTCAAGCACAGTCTCAAGCTGTGTCTTTGAAGGTGCAAAGGACTAGGCATAAGGGAATGAAGGAAAGAGTAGGCAAGTCCTGAGAAAACAACGGCTTACTAAAGGGACAGACCTTGACGAGCCTGTGGGCATTTTAAGAGGACTCATCTTGATGAGGAATGTTGGTGGCCGTATTTCTGGGTGGAGAAGGGAAAGCCAAGGAACCAAGGGAAACAGTGTGAGTCTGTTGAGCCAGCCAGCCTTTCTGGGAGGGGTGCATAGGAAGGGTTCTTAGTGCGGTTGATGTTGACTTTGAAGACTACAAGAGTTTGGGTCTGTCATCTCCTTTGCCTTTCTTCGCTTTGCTCCCCTTATTCTCCATTTACAGTTCTGTAATGCCATGCAAAGGAAGTCATATATATGCATTTTGAACTTTGGAAAGCTAATGTAACAAACATCTTGAACTTCACCCAGACATGATCTATAGGGATAGTATTCGTCTAAGTGAACGATCTCCAGAATCTATGAAGTTTATGTGCCGTGAGGACAGACTGGGTAGCATGCACAGAAAAAAAATACCATGTTTTCCTTCTGTCCTCCTTATCATACATCTGCTTTAGGAGTGGTGTGTGCAAATGGTTAGGTCTAAAAAGTGAACAAGAAAACAGTTACAGATGAAAGGAACTGGCTGAGAGAAGGAGAAGAGAAGGAGCAAAGGTTACAGAAGTGGCCCTCGCTGAACTATGTTGGCACACAGCCAAGCTCCCTCAAGTCCTTGAGAACATTTTAAACAGGAAAACGAGAGGGAGACAGGGTGAGGAATGATATTAACCAAAAGTGAAGAATTAAAAAGTCTATTAAACCAATTACCTAGTTTTAATGTTCACATTATATAGATTTTCGCCAGGAAAGTCCCTTCATTAAAACATAAAATTTGGTATTTAATCTGTATGGATAATACACCGAGGACTTGTTTGTTACAGCTAGGCAGCACTGCGGCATTTCACAAGCTGTGGCAGTTCCTGGTACAGATCTAAATTTCAGCGGAAGAAAATGGATCTACTAAATCCTATGTTAGCATCGCCAGCTGCAGGATGGCTAGCATTTTATGAAGGCCGTGAAAGGAAATTATTTTCCTTCATTTCCCATAGTCACAAGATTGTACAAGGAAATTTTCTCAGAATTTTTGGAAGTAAAAAAAAAGTATTTGTTAAATATGTTGTAATGCAAGTGATTATATTATTATAGGGAAAACCAATAAAACCAGGAGTGCAATTTTCCCTCCCTTCCTCCCTTCTTTCTCTTTCTTTTTGCCAAATTTAACTGTGGTTTATGCGCCTGATGACTAATTTTTTTTAATTGCAAAGTTGCACTTCTTAACATGATGCCTGACACAGGGCAGATAACTTAGACTTCTTGAGTGTATCGCTGGGATTAGAATAATTATAGAACCGAAAAGGTTTTTATTGCTTTTAGGTGAGTGCATTCCATTCTCATATATAGGTGTGTGCACTAGTAACTCATCAGCCACATCATCTACATTTAGATCTTTTTATAAAGATGGGAAGCCTAAGGTTCTTGGAAAAGGTGCGCTTGGTAAAGCAGTGTCAAAAGTTATATGGTTTTCTCAAACCATTTAAAATACACATAAATTTTTATTTATTTCACCCACACTGACATACGCATACAGCATTCCATGCTTATAAAAAATTAACTTGCATTTTAGGAGACTATGTATGTATTTAACTACAGAACTACATAAATACATAGAAAACATTTTTAATTTGGAATTCATTGATAAAATAATGTAAGAGAAGGAAAGCACCTTTACTGTCAAATAGGCATTAAATCAGAATGTGATACATATCCAAGGCATTACCCAAGAGAATGTTAAGACATGAATTTCACCCTTTTCTGTAGACGAGTGGATACAACCCATTATTACATTTTCATAATGAGCAATAGCTAGTAATCAGGTAAGAGAACCTGGTACTATTTGTTACATCTATAGAGGATTGTTGGGGTGCCATCTGTATTTTAAGAGGAAAAGTAATCCTTATGCCCGAGGTAGTTTTGCAATTTAGAATTCTAGTGTTTCACAGAAACTGGGAGATAGGAGGCTATTTCTGTTGGTGCCTCTGAACTTTGAGAGATACTGGTTCTCAGGTTTGTTTGTTGTCCCTAGGTAGCGGGTTCCCCTACTCTTAGTGGGGTTCAACCAGGGTTTTAAGTGCTCGAACACTGATTCACGCCCTCGTATCTTCCAAGTTCTTGAGGAAGATATCCCTGGATCATGAATCTGATAAGAGTACTTAATTGTTTTCTGAGAAAAAGGGGAGAGAATCTCTTCCATTTTGAACAGGAAGGCATAAACATTTGTGTGTCCTTACAGTATGTTTGGTTTCTTGGGCTCTGAAACGGACTTAAGTGAAGAACCATTTAGAATGAAAAGTATTCATCTCTTTTGGCTCTCACCTAACTCAAAGGTTTTAAGGGTGGGAGTGGAAATGAAGTTGTTAGACTTGCTGCTCGCAACCAATGTGGCTGAGCTCACGTACAGGATACAATGCCTTAAAAAGCGTGCTACAGCAATACGGGAGTGACGCTCAGTGACGAGTAACACCTATCACAGAGCTCCAGATCACCTAGTAAGATCTGTTCAGTCCACATTACTCATTTTGCACCAAAGTGCCGAAGAGCGCTTCGGAAAACGGCCCTCATTGGAAGAGCCGATCAGTCTGAGTTCTCGCTTTCCAGACTTTCCTAGAGGTAAGTACTTTGGAGGGGACCGCTCCCAGGACCCGCGGTACACCTTGCAACAGCATCCATGTGCCCAGAGGACTCTCAGATCGTCAGCGTCGCAGGCACCGGGAGCACAGGAGTGAGAAGAGACAAGTGCTTAGCGCTCTGCAGAAATGCAAAGCCGCTTTAAAGAAATCCTCGTTACAGCACACGCAAGCAAAGCGCGGGAAGGTGGAGGGACAGTCCGGTGCCGAGCCCGCTCGGGGTGGGGAGGAGACGCCGCACCCGCCCGTACCCCGCGGGCGCTCCATGTCTAGGCACGCCTCCTTTCCGGCCGGAGCGCGGGGCTGACCCTTCCCGCTGGCCCCAGCTTATCACCCGGCCAGGCCATTTTCCGGCTTTCGGCCCCGCGAGCCTCTCCCGAGTTTCCTGTCAGGCCCCCTCCGCCTCCGCGCCCATCCCGATAGCTGAGCTCGGAGAACCGGGCTCCTCAAAGAATGAGAGCCGCGAGGACGAGCCCTGCGGATAATCTGCCCACAGGGCGGCGGCCGCGGCCCACGCCTCCGCGCCCGCAACCCCAGCCCGCTTCCACCCGCTAAGCCCCGCCCCTCACGGGCCCGGGCC